AACAAACACAGATTAGAGGAAACAAAGGAGAGAAGAAGACTAAATACAATGTGGCATCTCAACACAGATTGAGAAACTGAAGAGGCTTTTTTATTAAAAAAAAAAAAAAAAAAAAGGCCTAAGGATACCAGGCAGAGTGGCTCCAGAGGTTAAGTCAGGAGGATCACAAGTTCTGCAACTTAGTGAGACCCTGTGTAGTTCAATAGTAAAGTGCCCCTGAGTTCAATTCCCAGTACCAAAGAAAAAAGGAAACCCAAATAAAGTCTATCTTTAACAGGATTTTGTTTTTTTGGTTTTTCTGCAGCATTGGGAATTGAACATAGGAACACTTGGCCACTGAGCTGCATCCCCAGCCTTTTGTTTTTGTTGTTTTGGGGGAAGGAGGGAGGGAGAATGGGGATTGAACCCAGGGGAGATTTACCATAAGCTATATCCTCAGCCCTTTTGAGACAGGGTCTCACTAAATTGCCCAGGCTGGGCTCAAACTTGTGATCACTGTCCCAAATAGCTGGGATCATAGGCATGTGCCACCAGGCCCTGCTAACAGGATTCTTATCAATGTTAATTTCTATTTTGATAAATGTACCAAGATTATGTTAGATGATAACATTAGAAAAGATTAATAACCAGTACCTAAGACTGCTAATTAACTCAGAATTACTAAATTGGGGAGGGGGGAACTGAGGGGACACTTCAAGAGTCCACAAGCTTAATAATTTGCTATCTTTGAGTATCCCTTCTCTATTTCAAAATTAAAAACTAGTCACTTACGTTCATAACTCAGAAAAAAACTTTTTTCATCACATGAAAAGTCAGATTACAGTTAATACTAATGCTTATTCATGAAACCTCTAAAAACATTAGCCTCCTATTTTTTGGATCTCATAGACATAGGTGCACACACCGTAGGAAATCCTAAGAGTAAGCTGAGAAATTTTAATAAAATTTGTCAATTTTATTAAATTGACAAAAATTTTAAACCTAGATGTACTTAAAGCATAGCCTACAGGCCTACATCCTACATAAATAGAGGATAGCACAGCCTATAGGCCAGCACAGAGGATGGGAGAAGGCTGGAAAAGTAGGTAGACACAACATTCACGTTTCAGATTCTATATCCTTTTGGTTACAGCACCCTTTTAAGTACTACATGTGCACAAACTAGATATATTTGGGTTTCACACCTTCAATTTTCAGCAAAAATATCAGAATACCTACAATGTGAAAGTACTTTTAAAAACATGCAAATCAAGGAGGAACATGAGTTCAAAGCCAGCCTCAGCAACTTAGTGAGATTCTGCCTCAAAATAAAAATTAAAAGGGCTGTGGATGTGGTGGTTAAGTGCCCCTGGGTTCAATCCCTCATACCAAAAAAACTAACCATGCAAATCAGTTATGGCTGTAGCTCAGTATTAAAAAGTTCATGCTTAGATCCTGGGTTCAACCCTAGCAATAAACTAAAATATGCAAAAAAATAAAATACTCAAAAATACTGTTATATAGTCACTTAATACCCACCAAAAACTATATCCCTACAAAGCAGATATGTGTTCCATCCAAGAAGCCAGATTTTCTCTGAATTGTGTTTATTGCTTTCTGCTTTTTAACCTAACTTTATTCTTCATGTGTGGATGATTCTCACTCTTAACCCCATCACCTGGCTTGCAATTCAGTCTCCCCTACTAAGGCCAGATGAGGTTTCCACACTTTAAAACAGAAAGCTGATTTAAGATATAAAAATATAAATGTAGTTAGCTGCCAGTGTGATCAAGAACTACAAGTGGGATTACAGTTGCTGAATCTAAATTTAACTGCAGAGCTTGGAAGGACAGTTACAGGTTTTTTGCACTAACTGTTGCCAAAAGACTAGTGGGGGGAGGGGGTTTTGCTATTATATCTTTTGCAGAGTAATAGTTTTATCCAAGGCCATCAAAATGCACAATTTAATTAGATGAAGAGTACACAATGCCTACTTAAGGTCGGTAATTTTTAAATATCCAACCAATTCGCAAAATGTAAAAAGATCAAGCAATTTTATTAAATTGACAAAAATTTTAAAAATGGTTTTAATAACAAATTCAGGCTTTATATTAAATCTCACTTTTAACATTGATCACATTTTCATCCTAAGAACTATATACAATTATAAAGCTATAAAAATGTAAAATTTTGTGTCCTTCACTTTCCCTGTAAAGTACTAAAACAAGTTATTAAACAAAAAAAATCCATGTTAAGTAACAACAACAAATACTTCACCATAGGTCAAGAACAAACATTACCAAAGTCTCCTAATGTTTCTGTAATGATCTGTCAGCTGAAAAGCAAACGGAGTTAAAGAACTGCCTCTTTTCTGCTAGAAACTCGGACTGAAAGGACTGAACTCCAACAAAACTAGCCTAAGGCTGGGGACGTGGCTCAGTAGTTGTGTCTGTCTGGCATACTTGAGGCCCTGGGTTTGATTCCCAGGACCATGCACAGAATAACCTATGTCTTGGGTGAGAAGTAAGGGGACAAAGTCTTATACTACTCTATTATCCCAATTTACTTCAATTCACTTTTGGAGGGAGGGTACTGAGGATTGAACCCAGGGGTCCTATAACTGGAACTACATCTGCACCTCTTTTTAGTTTGAAAGTGTCTCAAAAAAAATTTTGCCAAATTTGTGATCCTCCTGCCGCAGTGTTCCTGGCAGCTGGGATTACAAGCATGTGCCTGCCACCAAAGCCATTCACTTGTTCTTGACAAACTAGAGCACAGGTCGTGACAATAGCAATTTGTGAAATAATCATATAATGTTCATATTCCTGCCCACCTGATAACCATTTGCCTGAAGCCAATAAAAGTACAGGTTTGTTTTTAATATCTGAAGGTGAAATTAATGAAAATTTCCCTCAATTAACTAATGCCTAATGTGTTTTCATTCTGATATATTTTGCCTGGAGCAATAATAAAGTTAGATGAACAAACTTAATACTTTAAATGTAAGTGGTTATTTTATTTATTTATTTTAATGTGGTGCTGAGGACTAAACCCAGTCAGTGTCTCACATGTGCTAGGCAAGTGCTCATACCACTGAGCTACAACCCCAGCCTCTAAATGTAAGTCATTATTTTAACTTTTAATAAATTATTCAAACTTAAGATAAAATGCAAACTGAATAGGTAACCTATGTATAGAAGGTAGGCTAACCTGAACAGCAGAGTGCAAGTTTCAAGTAAAACAATGTTATAATCCAAAGCAATCTGTTATTTATAGTAACACCAACAAAGGTATGAACTTGTCTGTACAATATATTGCTACTTTCTGGTAAGAAACAAAAGGTAACTACTTGGTAAATACATTTATAAATACTAAACTACCTGACTTTTTAACTTCTTTACATGGAAGTCAATTTCAAATTAACACAGAACTGGCCCCGAAACTTTTGTGCTATATAGTTAATCATGTGAATCTAGAAACATAGGAACACTTACTTTATAAAACCAAGGAGTATACTGTGTTTAAAATAATCTAAAATGACAACTGTACAAGAAAAACAAACTCAAGTTCTTGAAAGGTAAGAAAGGGGTCTTTGCATATAGATAGAATTCTAGTAGGATAAATGCAAAAAAAATTCTGAATGTAGACAGACTTATCGACGAAAGACCCTAAACTGCCCTAAGTATACTTTTCAATAAATCACAATCACTGGTTACTCACCTACAGTGATCCAGTTTATACTCTAAGGGGGCACCTTTCCATTCCAATTTCAAATTTTAGCCCAAGTCTCTGGTGAGATCTGAAATTCATTTTGAACCTCGTTCTCTTAATTAATTTATTGTAATGATAATCTCCAAGTTCTTCCTCCACAAAAAAAAAAAAGGAAAAAGATTCAAGGTCTACTATCAGAGTCTAACTTCTGCTGGCGGGAATTTCCCATCACCCTGTTATGACTTTCAAATCTGAGCCGGAACACTGTCCATGCTCATTTGCATTTACTCATTCTTTACTTTTTCCAGAAGCTGATCGGTCACATCTATCGACTGTACAAATACGGGTAGGGAAGTAGCCTTTCCTTTGTCATAATCCCACTACCAACCCAGGTCTCCCTGGAAAGTCCTAGGACTGGCCTGTATAAATACGCTGCTGCAGTCTTCTCTGCAGTTGGCCTTTCAAAGCTGAGGCTGACCTCAGGGGAAAGTGCTCAAGGGGCAAAGGTGCCCAGGGTGCGCACAAAGCTGAAGCAAATAATAAGCTGGGTTGGAAGGCTCGGAACCCAAAGAACACAGATCCAAATACCGTTCCCTTGCCGTCTGAGTGCCTTTGAACAGGTCACTCCACTTCTGTGCCCTAGTCGCGATGAAATAAGAAAAATCGCACCTACCCCATTAGGTCGTTGTGAGAATCACATGAAGTAGATAAGTGGCTCGGCACAGTGCCTGGCACAGTGAGGGATTAGAATCCTAGGTGCTATTGTCACTAACTCTCCAAGCACTCGCTGTTCCCTCAATGCTAACTCCTGTAAAGCCAGAAAGCGGCACTTCTGCTTTGCGGGCCTAAAGAGTTATCACGCTTCAGTATTGTCCCCATTCCCAGATTAAGGAAAAAAAAAAAAAAAAAAACCCTCCTGATCTCCGCCGAGCCGTAGCTCGGTGACCAAGCGAGGAAAGACTACCCGGCGCGTGGCGGATAAGGCAGGCGGGAAAAGCTGGCCAGCGGGCCGCGCAAAGCCCCCAGGCCGCGAGATCGCCAAGGGGCCCCGGCGGCGGCAGCTGCTCGCTCCCGCCCCGCGTGGCCGTTGGACGCGGCACGCGCACGCGGTGGACTTGGCCACGCGCTCCAGGCAGCGGGGGTTGGGGAGGCGCCGCGCACTCGTCGTCCGCCGCGCGCGCCGGCGGCCGTTGGGGTGGGGGTGGGGGTATGCGGCTCGCGGGCGCGTCTCTGACTTCTCCTCTCTTTCACCACCGCTCCAACTGGTCCTCGTCCTTAGGCCGCACTGTCCCGCCCATACCCCAGCGTACCTGCGCGGCTGAGCGGGAGAGGAACAAGCTTTGCCCCACAGCACAGAAGGTGGCAGGAATCCCTCACGCAAGTGCGTCCGCACACACGCGTGCTCCGCCGCCGGTCTATATAACCGTGATTCAGCCTAACTTGTTGCGGCCAGGTCGGGGTAGCGGAGGACCAATCCCGACTGCGTCCTCTGAGCTCTTCGAATAGCAATTGGGTACCGACTCAGGATGAAGGCGTGGCTCTTGATTGGCTTTGACTCATGCCTATAAGACCGTGAGGATCCTGCTTCCCTATAAGGGATTGGCACTAAGAAAGGCCAATAACTTGAAAGCACACAGGGAAGGAGGGTGGGCAGTTCTTTGACCGATATCCAGGGTAGCCAATAACTACAGGGGACTGCTCTCATTGGTTAAAATGTCTTCCCCTGGGCGGAGATCCGTTTTCCTTGCAGGAGCGGTTGCTCCACAAGGTGGGACCCGTGTACTTTGGGGAAGTAAACCCCAAGCAACTAGGAGGTGGGCACTGGGGAAGCCAAGAAAGGCCCAGACCAATCACAATGCCGGAATGAGCTGATTGACACGGGGGCTGGACTGTTCCAAAAAGGCAGAGACCCAGCGCCTCCTGGACCCTCTGTGGCGGTTATGAGGCTGACCCCGGTTTCTGTTCCCTTTCCTTTCTTAACTTCCCTTGGGTCCGGACCCTGAGACTCCTTCTCCCGCCTTTCCGCACAGTTTGGTACCCAAGGATCCAAATGGCAAAGTTTCTGTTTTTTTTTAATTTATCATCCTTATTACAACTTTTTTCATTTCCGTGCGCTGAGAGTACTTGCTGGCTCTTACCATTAGTCAGCACTATTGTTGGGCAACTGTTATAGGAAAGCCTAAGAAAAGAGTAGCTGTGTGTATGCAAGGTCCTGTAAAAAGGTCAGACGCGAAAGCTATTGAGTTTGAGAATTTGCATTTCCATCCGGTTGCTTCTTGGCAGGTGCTGCTACAGGTTGGCCCCATCGTCGATTCCTGGATCTTTCAGTGAAGTTTTTGGGGGTTGTTACTGAAAAAAAATGGCAGTTTTTATATTCTCCGATCAAGTTTTGGCCTCCATGCAACATCCTGTGCGTCACCACCATTGCCACTCCGTTTTCTTATTGCTGTGGGTGAGGGGTGCTATTACTTCGTGGCGTTATGCTTTTAAAAGGTAACTTGCCAAGTCCTATGCGGACATCCTAAAGATCTTCCCGAAACACTTCACGGGTTAAGGAGCCCCAACCCGCTTCTGTCCGGTCTCGGTATTTTGCTGGGCCCTCTGTTGGTCACCAGGAGTATTTTATGTGGAAATAGCTTTGGTTCCCACGTGCTAGACATGGACACGCCCCGGCCCCGTTGTCTTTCCAAACATCTGACAATGCGGGAGGGTCACCGGTTAAGTTTTGCTGCAATTTTTTTAAAATGAAGTAACATGGAGCGTACCTGTCGGCACAAAAGTAGAGGGGGCGCTCCAACCCAGCAGCAACCTGGTGCGACCCGGGCGATGCCCACTCGCGTCCTTCCAGGGACCAGACCCGGGTCCGAAACTCACGCGGGGAGGCCCAGGAGCGACATGAAAAGTTCCTTTGGCGGCCAGTAAGGCCGCACTTCCGCATCATTCCGGCTCATTCAGGCATTGAGATCTCCGGGTGCTGGGGTCGGAGTTGGTTGAAATGCAGTCGGGGTCACCTATTCAACAGTCAGACGCTGCGCTGACCCCGGAAACAGGCACCACCAAGTTCTGCAAGCAGAGAGGAAACTGCGCACAGAGACACGCCGCTGAAAGTTTTCTAGAGTTAAAGAAACTCTGAGATAGTGCTAGCCATGCCAAGGAACTTGGGCTTTAATCTGAGGGCAATGGGGAACACCTGAAAAGTTTCTTAAAAGAACGGACTAAGAGATTGCAACTTTTTTTTTTTTCTAGATATTGTTTCCTGCATGGTTTGCCTCCTCAGTCATAGTCCACAGACTCTGAGAAGTCGTAGGAATATGCAGGTGCAGACACAAAGCCCAGCTTCATCTCCAACGTTGTGGAAAGGGACTGTACATCATGGGGCAGAGCCCTGTGCTCCCCTATGCCACCTGGACAGAGCCCGGGGAGAGTGACCTCCCGGGTTATCCACGTTGGAAGAGATTGCAACTGTTTTCCCCCAGAAAACTGTAAAACTTTATTGATAATTTTAGCAATCAAGGTTGTAATATCAAGACTGCATGCGTGGCTCTAGATTGTCTTCTTTTCAACCCATAATGGCACTTAAATTGCTTCTGGCATTTTAAGGGGTTCTACATTTGATAGAATTCCATGCTTGGCATCAGAACCATCTCAACCTTGCACTTTTGGCCTCACACAGTTCCTGGAAATTAGCTTCCAGGTCAGGCCCTTGAAGCTCAGATTTCAGATGCTCCTTCGCTTTCTCCTTCTTGACCGGGTGTGATACCCTGACTTTCAGGTGGGGTGGATCCTCTTGTTGAGGTTGTTCATCACTGAACTGGGAAACGATAAGCTCAAGCAGATGAGAAAACTCTCTACCTATAGATTTGGATCTCAATATTATTTTTTTAACTGATGTTTCACATGACTGAGTCTCAGTTGGCTAAAAAGAATGAAAATACCTGGGGCACTAACTCTCCTGGCATATCGATAAGCACAGAAAGCAATGGCATGATGCATGCACAGTGGAGACTTCAGTTTCCTAGATGACTCCCGGAACTGTAAGGCTAATGAGTGCAGATGGGCAAAATTTTACATTTATGGATTGGTAATATAACCCAAGTGGCCTGAATTATGTACATTCCTCCAAAACAACAATACTTTTTAGCCACATTTATTGACAAACACAGGTACCAAGGTGTTCTGCAGCATTATCAGAATGCTTGAAAACAAATGTTCATCAATTGGCAAATTTTTAGGTGATATGCATATAATATTAAATGCAGCAGATTTAAAAATAAGGTGAAACTATACAGTTGGGTTCTGTCTCCAGTTGTTAGTTGGATTAACAATTGTTAATTGAGATTTCTGTAGGTTAAAATAGGTATATAAGTGTAGGGAAAGTGCTACATTTAAAATAAGAGTCATTAACCTCTAGGGAATCCACTAGATTGGGAGCAATGAAGCTAATATGAAGGAAGGGGGAATGGATAATGGGGGAGAAGTTGGCAGGACATCTCAGATGTCTATTGTTGTCTCCCAGAGGAGAGAAAGCAAGTTGACATTCTCCTGTAGTAGTTTCCCCACCCAGATTAGAAACCCTTGAGCTCCAGATGCTGGATACTTAATACTTGGTAAATGTTCCATGAATAACTTACCACTAATGAATTGTCTAAAGCAGTGGTTGGAGTAGGGGTGGGGGTCATGGCCACAATTGGGTAGGGGGGCTATTGGCATCTACCAGATAGAGGCCAGGTATGCACAGGAGAGTGACCCCATAACAACAACAAAAAATTATCCACCCAAAAAATCAACAGTGCTGTGGCTAAGAAACCCTAGTCAAGATATCTCAGTCTTCTAAGGGAAAGTCCCTGGCCTCTTTCTGGTCTTTTATCTCCACCACAAAGCAAAATCTGCAAACCCCTGCACAACGCTACTTCACCTTGCTCTTTCTGCCGGTTCTTCTCAAATCTCAGAGAATTGGGGGGGGGGGGGCGGGAAACATGAGCAAGACCTCAGAAGATAGTATGACAGGCAGTGAATGGGAAATATTAGGTAAGAAATCGTCTGATCAGTTTAACCCAACATAGTAAATCATTCGTGAAGGGTGATTAAAAATACTCACTGCAGTATTCTTTGTAGTAGAATGGAAATAGCTCAAATGTCTGACTACACAGGGCAATTAGAAACAATACTACAGTGCAGTATATTTGCAGGGGATTCTCATGCAATCATACGGAAAATGAGAGCAGATCTACATGTTCAGTTATAGAATGATCTCCAGAAGATATTAAGAAAGCAAAGTGCAGAATATTAGGGAGAGAATGCCTAATAGCATTTGGGTAAAAAGGGGTAGAGGGATGACATTTTCTATTAAGACATGAGTATTGCTGTAGTTATATGTACACATTCCTGTATGGTTTTGCTGTATATGCATAAGTCACAGGAAACTGTTAATGATTCCTAACAGGGAGATGAACTTCAGCCAGGACAGGAAAAAGGCTGTTTTCATTCTGTACTCTTTGGTAATGTATGATTTATTTTTAATGTGTCTATTAGTTTTCATAAAAATTAATGTTAATTACAGATTATGAATAACATAAGGAATTACAATAGACAGATTTTGATCTTTAAACAGGATAGAATACTCTATTACCTCTTGTGGGTGGGTACGTGAAGGGTCTTGAAAATGAGGCATCAAAGTTGTAATCTGCCTCTTCTGGCCTGCTAACCTCTTTTCCTCTTGCTTCTTCCCAAAGATCCAAAGAGAACTTGAAGCTGCACCTGTACTCCCAGCTGCTGGGAAGGCTGAGGCCAGTGCTGAAGCCAACCTAGGCCACACAGTGAGAACCTATCTGTTAATTGGAGGGGAAAGTGCTCTCAAAGAGAACTTTACTGGCTTAGAAATTCATGCCTAATTGAATTTCCCCCTCAGGCTTTGACTGTCTGCAAATACATATCCTCAAACTGTGGGGCACTGATCATGAGCCAGGCTTCTTGCTAGTATTTTTGTCAAGAAAAAAACCCTCATTTAATATTCACAAGCCCCTCTTTTCCATTTCTCAAGTACAGAAACAAATTCAAAGATGTTAAGTAACTTGCCCAAGATCACACAACTAGGCCTAGAAGCTACAACTCTGATTTCCAAGTCCATGTTATTTTACCCACTTGTTAATACTGCCCAGAAGGAGGATAAAGCCCTGACTACAGGGACATTGTCTCCTGGGAAACTCCTGAAAGGCTGGGATTATTTTTCCCCCTTAGGCATGGCATCAAGTAATCCTACAGAGACAGATTTCCAAGTGGTTTGAAAGTTATGGAGTCCAAGACAAAGTCCTTTGCACATTTGGCACATATACACCTTTAGGAGTCCTTACTTCCTGTGGCTTAGACAAGGCTAAATAACATTGTGTCAAACACTACTACATGTCAGGCAGAGTGCCAGTCTATTTTTCCATTCATCCTCACAAAAACCAACTCCAGTTGAGAAAGTTTTGATGACTAACTCAAGATTACATTGCTTGGAAGTGGTGGAACTGGTATTCAGCATCAGGTTTTTTTGTTTGTTTGTTTTGTTTTTTAAAGACTTCTCCCAGAGGAAGAAGGGGAGAGGTCTTCCCTCTTTTTTATTTTTTAAGAGAGTAGATGGACACAACACAATGCCTTTATTTTTATATGGTGCTGAGAATTGAACCCGGGTTGCGCCCGTGCTAGGCGAGTGCTCTACCACTGAGCCACAATCCCAGACCTCAGCATCAGGTTTTTATCACTATAAATTTGAAGCCCAGTCAGGCACAGTGGCTCACATCTGTAATCCCAAAGACTAAGGAGGCTGAGTCAGGAGGATCGAAAATTTGAGACCAACCTCAGCAACTGGGCGAGACCCTGTCTCAAACTACAAAATAAAAAGGGCTGAGGATGTGGCTCAGTGGTAGAGTGCTATATATATGCTCATTCCATCAAATTTTGAAAAATGATTACTAATGTCAAATGTTAGCAAAAGTGCAGGGAAATAATTATTATGGTTAATACATAATGTAAATTGACATGGTCTTTCAGAGAGCAATTCGAAAGCATCTATTAAGTTTTTTGTATGTGTATGGTATTGGGGCTCAAAGCCAGGGCTTTGAGCATGCTGATCATGTGCTCTACCATTGAACTACACCCCAGCCCTCTGAAAATTTTAAATCCACATATTGTAGGAAATAGAAATGCTACTTTTTGGTGTTCATTCTGAAGAAACTCTCCCATACATATAGAGAGAACAAAGATAGCATTGTTTGTAATTTTTAAAATAATAAACGGAAATAATGTCAACAAGGGAATAGCTAAATTTGCTATATTGTTTATGCAGCAATTGAGAGATTAATCTAGTTTAAATATATGCATAGGGGCTGGGATTGTAGCTCAATGGTATAGCACTTGCCTCTCACATGTGGAGTTCTGAGTTCCATCCTCAGTACCACGTAAGAATAAAGGTATTATATCTATCTACAACTAAAAAATAAAAAAAAAATGCATATCCATGTTTATGTATATTCATATACATAGAAAATATATGTAACAACATTATATACAAAACATGAATCTCACCAGGCACGGTGGCTCACACCTATAATCCCAACCACTCAGGAGGTTGTAGAAGGAAAAACACAAGTTTAAGGCCAGTCTGTGTGACTTAGTAAAATAATGTCTTAAAATTGAAGGAAAAAAAAATGTTATAGGAAATTGTTGTTTTAAACTAAACTACTGCTCTGGGCCCCAACAGACCAGGTTAAAAAAAAAAATGGACCCCTTTGGGCTGGGGATGAGGCTCAAGCGGTAGCGCGCTTGCCTGGCATGCGTGCCTCAGCACCACATACAAACAAAGATGTTGTGTCTGCTGCAAATTAAAAAATAAATATTAAAATTCTCTCTTTGAAAAAAAAAATGGACCCACTCATGCTAAAGTTCCAGTTACCAAGTTTATCTGACCTTCCAGAGAAATCAGGATTTGAGATAATAGCCAAATTTCTTCTATTAGCCTGTTTCAATTGTCATGATAATGAGATTCCCTCTGCCTTAATCCTTACACACCACCAAACAAGGTAACCTGAAGCAATCTGGTGTTAACTGACCCATTCTTTTTCTATTGCTCTGTTTCCCTGTGCCCATCTTACATGGAAAGTAACTTTGAAATGACTCATCTGCTTTTTGGTTTTTGTTTTCTACAGGTCTTTTCTGTCTTTAAAAGCAAACCCTTCTGTTCTCTGCTTATGAGAATACATTGTATTTTTTTAGTTTTATTTTTTAGTTGTAGATGGACACAGTATCTTTATTTCTATTTTTTTTTCATGTGGTGTTGGGGATCGAACCCAGTGCCTTACACATACTACACAAGCGCTCTACCACTGAGCCAGCCCCCAGAGAGCACATTGTATTTTATGGAACAAAGTGTGGTCTGATTCTAGAGTTGAAAAGATCATTAAACTAAATTATTGTTTGATAATAGAAAAACATCTGAATGTATATACAACAATTTGATAGCAATTGCTATGTCTGTGAAAGAGAGTGATCGTAAG